AGTCAAAATGACTCGACCAGAAGATTAGTACCTGAAGAAGTTTCTGCTTTTCATTTCTGTCTGTTTGAGTTAAAACACAGCTTCTGTAAAAAAATGACATTTAGACTCAATTTAGGGCTAAAACAAGTTACTAAGGGGGCTGCTTGGAGGATTTGAAGTCTCCTTTAGCGTGCCATAGTTGCTACAAGAATCTTTTGATGTAGATTATTTGTTGCAAACTGAATTATACATATTATGATTTACTTTGACAGTTTGATTGTTATTTGTGTGAATTAAATGCACACAGGGAGATACTAGAAGCGTGTCAGTGAAATTAAAACACTTCTGTTACCACAGCGTTCTATTAAATTGTGTTGCTGACAATCACATCCTTGGAGCACTTTCGCAACAAAGTTCTTCTCCTCTCCTCTGACAGTTGCAAATATCAACACATGTGAATCCGACAGCAGACACATCAGCACGGCAGCCGCTACAGAGCAGTGGAGCTCCGCCTCGCTGCCGCTCACTGGTGTGTATCTCTGTTTACTGCCATGTGGTTCTCCTCTCTCCCTGTTCAGGACGTGCTCTAAAAATGTCATCTTTTGACTGCTGGCTCTTTATTTTTATTTTATTTTTTTTAGAGGAGTTGTGCTTGGAACTCGCCAGGGCGATCGAAGCAGGGGACACTCAGGCGGCTTCACAGCACGCCGCCGCACTGGCCCGACAGAAAGCAGCGCTGACGATTCAACTGTCTGAGAAGAACTACGCCGACGGAGAGATCAGGTGAGAGATGATGAGGACTCACTCAAAGTTCCCGTGACTGATTCAAAGTACATTCAAAGTGTACCTTACTGTGTTGTACCTGTGTTACAGATTGTCCGTCGTCGTGGAGGATGTATCGTCTTCCTGTTGTGTCACAGTTAAAGTCTTTCCTTACATGACGGTGGCTGCACTCAAGCAACAGGTTAGAAAATGATCAATGATCATCATTAAGAGGCTGCACTGGCTGTTCTTTTGGCTGGCTGACTCCCTCCGCTCTCGTTCTGCAGGTGTTCCTCGAGTACGGTTTCCATCCTCGCGTGCAGCGTTGGGTGATTGGCCAGTGTTTGTGCACCGAGCCGAGGTCACTGGCCTCCTACGGGGTGCAGAAGGACGGCGACACGGCGTACCTCTACCTGATCTCTGCCCGACAGGCCCGCATTACCCGCCAGCTGTTCCAGCAGGACCTGGAGAGCGCCCTCCTCGCCCCACCCCTCCCACCAGGCAATGGTCCCGCCTCCCAAGACTGGAGGGGCTACAGCACCCTGCCCTCTAGGCTTACCCACAACAAGCAGGGTGAGCATCTTAAATGTGGCTGTTCTGTCGCAGGTTTGTTCTTCTGTAATCTTAAACTGATGATGTTAAAGTGCTGCCTCGCTTAAGAAAAGTGGAGGAATGAGTGACAGTAACTGCCTGGTGTGTGGCCCTCAGACTTCAGTCAGTTTGTAATAGTTATGAATGTGTGAACTTACTTAGGCCTTAAATAGATAAAATCCCCCAAAAAATATGCTCTTACAGTGCACTAGACTATATGTTTTTCTTTCCTGTGATTTATAAATCTTTTTGTAAACACAAAGGACTGCATTTTTTTAATCAATCAGGTTTATTTTTTATGATTTATATTATTTTCTGACTTTTCGTAAAAACATTTATTTAAAAAAAATCTGTAAAACTTGCATTCCTCCTCTACATTGTTTATCCCTGCACACACTTGGCCTTCTAGTCATTGATCCGCAGCAAATTGTGTGTGTTCAAGAGCAGCAGAAATCCCAGAAGAGACTTTACAAATACTTCACAGACTAATTGTAAATACTACATTTAAGTTAAAGAATGCATGACTTCATGAACGTTTTTGTATTTTTTGTTTTGTCCAACTTCAGGGAGCACGAGTAGTGGAAACGAGAGGACGGGTGACATCATAGATGTTCTTGACATTGAGAATCTGCAGCTGAATGATCCCACAAACAAAGCCAGTAAAACACAGGTATGTTAGAAGTCTAAGGTGTTGGTCAAATAAAAAAAGAAACTGGACACAATGAAGATCCACTTTGTTTCTAAATCTTTAAATGTTTGTGATCATTTTAGAAGTATAACTTGTGAATCTCTTAAAAGTTTCTGTGAACACATTGTTTCCTCAACACAGCTAATAGAAGGCTTCATTGAGATAAAAAAAAATGTTTCTGAATGTTGCCTGTCTTTGAAATATAAGTTTCAAATATTTTCACTACTTGTTCCCTCTCAGCAGACAGAGTGGGCTTGTCCCTCATGCACTTTCATCAACAAGCCGTCACGTCCCGGCTGCGAAATCTGCGCCACAGCTAGACCTGACACACACATCCATCAGGTACTACATAATACCACAAGTCAATCAATACTCCTCAGGTCCATTCCCTTTAGTGAAAACCTCTTCATGTCTTATGTTCCCTCACAGGAGAAAGGGAGGAGGGAGGACCGAGGGGAGTCTGGATTAAGCAGCAGCAGCTGACTGCCCATCATCGCTGTCCTCTTGACATGTCTCATCTCACTCACTTACACACGCACATACTCACAAATACACACACAGGGAAGATGCTAAATCTGCCTCTTACATGTTGACAAATACTCACATAAAGCCTGTCGAGTGCACTGAGAGTCCTCTGACAGCTGTCTGGCTGCTGACGACCGGAGCGTTTGAAGCACTGTAGCATGACGCAGAGCTGCACTGGCCGAGGATCAGACCGCAAACTGCAGACAGAGAGCGTCACATCTCTATGGACATGACCATGACATACTTTTGGACTGACCTCTTTGTTATTTATTTTACAGGGTGTGTGTGTGTTCGTGTGTGCTGAGAACGACACAGACGGCCTGATATTTATTTTAGGGGAGACAGATGTGATGTAAGTTCTGAAACTTTTTGATTGAAAAAAAAAAGAAAAAAAGAGGGACTTTCAGTTTGTGTAACTGTGAAGTGAAAGAAAAGGTGAAGCCTTGTGCAATACCCTGCTCCCTGCGCGTGTGTGTGTGTGTCCGTGCGTCATCTGTTGGTGCCAAAGTCATGTCGGAAGCTCTGGCTGAGAAGAGACGAGTTGTCACGTTTACAGGGTTGTCAAGTGCTTTTATTTTTTTATATCATTGTATTAAGTGTTTTATTTTTAACAAGATGCATTGAGTAATTGATGTACATTTTAACAGTTGATCTAATTTGACTCAGTTTCCTCTCAGCTGTGACAGCAAAGGAATGACCTGTTTTCAGTACATAGGACTGTAAAAAAGATGCATTAGCTGAATAAACATAATGGAACTTAACAAATCCAGTCTCTGGGTGTTTTTCTGGGATACACAGGGAGAAAAAAATGATTTGAATATTCCCGGTTTTAAGCCTGCAGCTTTAAGAAGCCCCTCACCTCTTGACCTCTGGAGTGTAGTATCCACACTGTGACAAAAGCACTGCATCAGGAAGTTAAATTATTTCAGGTTATTGTGCAAAGATGGACCAACTTAAGATGAATATGAATGGTCAATAGATGTGCTCAACTCCTTTGCAGATGAAACAAACAGAAAACCAGTTTCATAGCAGGTTAAATGAAGCCTTTCCTGAAAAACATTGTTGCTTGCACATCAGTATGAAAAAAAAAAAAAAGGTTGGTATTTGAAAATGTGACTCGACATAAATTTCAAACATGATTTTTACTCCGAAATCCTCGGTACGTCATTTCTGTGTATAACCCCGTTTCCAAATCAGTTGGGATGTTGTATCAAATGTAAATAAAAACACCTAAGGAATATTTGTATTACATTTAAAACTCTGGTTAAAGATAGAACAGACCAGATGTCAAATCTTGGAATTTAGAAATGTGTTTCTTGGAAAATAAAAGGCACATTTTGAATTTGATGCCAAAAAGTTGAGACAGTGGAAAGAAAAGAACTGAAAAAGTTGTGAAATGATTGAAAAAAGATTAAACATTTAACTGTTAATGAAGTAAACTGTCATAGGTTAACATGTTAACATGATTTAGTTTAAAAAGAGCATCCCAGAGAGGCTGAGTCTTCAGAAAGTAAATATGGACAGGAGTTCACCCCTCTGTGAAAGACTGTGCTGGCATAATCCTCTACAGTTCATAATATCATGAAAGGATTCAATGTCTGCAGGGGACAAGGACTAAAAACTATTTTGGAACGCTTTGATCTTGGGCCCCTCCAGATGGCGCCACATAAAAGAAAACAGACATGATTCTGCAGTGGATCTCATCAGGAACACTTCCAATAAAACAAACCAGTCTCCTGTAGAGGAGAAGGACCATCTGGTTTGATATCAGTGCACAGTTCAAAGGTCAACATCAGTGATGGTGCAATAGTGCACATGGCAACGCTAACAATGACATTTTGAAGCACTGTTAACACTGAACCCTGTATACAGGTGTGGATCAACATACACTGCCTAACAGACAACTTTTTTTTTTTTCAGGAAAGGCATTTGTTATTTTAGTAAGACAAAGACAAACCTCATTCTGCATGTATAACAACAGCATGGCGAGATTGGATGCTAAACTGGCCTTCTTGCAGTCTGACTTGTCACCCATTGAAATGTTTGCTGCATTATAAAGAGTCAAATGTTTCAAAGTTGACCCTGGACTGTGGAGCAGCTCAAATCTCACATACGTGATTAAAATGTCAAAATGATAGAAACGTGTCTCACCAGGTTCCTAAACACATCACAGTGTTGTTAAAAGAAGAGGTGATGCTGCAGAGGTAGTAGACATTAACCCGTCCCAACTTTTTTGAAACGTGTTCTCTGCATCATATTAATTACATTTTCCAAACATGTGAAAGGGATGTGAATATTTAGTAAATCATCAATGTGTTTTTATATACATTTGACACAACATTCCTCACTGATTGGAAACAGGGTTGTATCATGCCCTCCATGTAAAGACCATGAACATAGCAACATGTTTTTGAAGTTTTACTCTCAATGTTAGAGGACAACACATGGGAGGCGCTCTTGTTTGACTTTTTATTTTGGCATTTATAAATATGACGTGAACACATTTCAAAGAAAGTTATCAAAACAAGTATAAAAATATGAACGGTAGTGATGGCTTGTTCAAAAGGTGCAGTTTTACAGACATAACTGCAGACGACAAAACAAAGCAGAGAGTTTCATCCATTCAGCAGCCATGTCATCCGTCACCTACCAAGGACAAACAAAAAGATGAGAAATAAACTAAACAGTGCAGTCTTGTTCTTCATGTACCACAAAGACATTCATAAATAAATCCTTGAACCAAAAGCAACCCAACCTTTATATTAATATTTACTTATAAAACATCCCTCGAATTCTTAACTGTTTGGAAGTGAGATCTGGAGTACAAAACTATGGAAGCAGAGAACTGCTGTTTGCCTTCAACTCAAGATCATGAGTTAATTTGTTTTTTTTTATCTTGATATAACAAGATAATCAACCCATTATATAGAAGCAATTTTTGTCATTTTTGTCAAATGCAAGCATGGTTATTCTTAGCTTCCGCACATATTGTCCGTTCTGCTTAGTGTGTCAGGAACCAGAATTTTCCCAATGTTTTGAGATGAACTGAAACAAAATGTCTAAAATAAGGGAGTCACGGCATTCCTTCCAGGACAACTACATGTATTCTTGTTATTGTCCAACATCTCCAGTAGATTTAACTTGTCTGTCATTCACATTTCTCCAAGACAAACCAGAGGGTTTTTTTTTTTTCTCTTCCGATGAAAGCCTTCAGTTGTCCTGTGTGACTGACATTTACTTCCAGAAGAGAATGTTCCAGAAAAGCAGCCAGCAGGGATAGACCAGCAGGGCTATGAGAGGGTAAACCAGAGAGCCGTACAGCACATGGTCTAAGATGCCCTGAGAGATGACTGACAGGTAGAGCACCCATCCGTCCTGGAAGCTGACGGGCAACTCCACCAGCTCTTGGTAGAAAAAGACGCAGAAGAGGAGCGTGCAGGCCGGGCTGAGGATGACCAGAATGAAGGCAGAAAGGACCCTAAGGCAAGAAGAAGAAGAAGAGTGAGCTTTTGATTTCCTGTGTCAATCACGTGGCTGTGTGAGCTACAACGTGTGTGTGTGCAGGTGTCTTACTTTGGTACGTGGGGTGTGATGAAGGCAGCTATGGGCACCAGGTTGAGCGCCAGGATGAAGCCGAGGGAGAAGTTGATGAGGGCGGTGCATCCCAGCAGAACGGCAAGGTACAACACAGCGACCAGCTTGAGGATTTTCCAGCCCTGCTCCGTCCCCTCACCTGACAAGAGCCTTCGACAAACAGCAAGAAATTCTCATTCTCCTGCATCACAGTGCTTCCAAGGTGGAACATGGTACTAGCTTTGCTCTTGGTCTCTACTAAAAGCCATCCAGCTAGTTATAAAAAAAAACAACAGGATGAAGTCGGGGTGGTAAAGTCTATGAGCTTGTAACATGATGATAGAACATTTTCTAATACTATTGTTTTCCAGCAGCTTTCACAAACCTGTGAAAAAACCTCTATAGAAGAAGTCCAATATTTGTGGTAAGAATTTATTATCATGTCTGAATATAATGTGCGCACAAGTGATATGAAATAATTAAGGATTTAGGGGGCTCAAAGTCATACTTGGATGTGAATGTGACTGTGTACGAGTACTTCACTGTCAGACAAAGTGTGGGAACTTGAGGAGTCCTCTGCTTTCATTCTGTTCACAAAAAGCTTGTGTTGTTTCAGATTCATTGTTAAATCTCAGTGTTACTATAGTTAGTGTGTTCATCTTTGGACGATACAATCTCTGAGAAAAGTCACAAACAAACTGGATAAATTACACTCTTCTTAGAGAGTCCGCTGAAATATCAAATCACTAGATAGTGACTATGATTCAATAACAAGAACAATAAACACAAATGTTAAAAATCCTAAACCTCGCAGTTGCAAGGAGTAAGAAGCTACCTGTGTGTGTTGTGTGGCAACGCGAGTCCTGCAGTGTACACAGCAATAGCTGTCAGGACCACAGCCTCGGTCTCTGACACCGGGAAGTGTTCCACAGCCATCTCCTGAAAGCGGATGGGCAGTGCGTACAGAGCTACACCTGTCAGATGGCTGATCACCAGAGGAGTCAACACCGACAGCACACCTGGATTGGACATCTGGGAGGAAGACGATTAAGTAAGAGGGGTGATTTAATAGACTCAAGATCAGTGAATTGTCCTGCTTGTCTAGATGTGTGAGTTTTACCTGCTCAGTGTCAGCGATCCCATCTTCTGTTCTAGGTGGAGAAGTCGAAAACTGCACCCACAGATCTAAGGCCTGTGTCACAGTCAAGGGCAAGCCCGATCAATTACATGGTTATAAGCCCCCCTGCAAACATTTAATCAGTGACCTGGGCTGCAAACAGGGAACATTTGGCCATATTCTGAGAATCATTTGTGTATAAAAATCTACATTTTAGATTCAATCCAACTGAAAATAAAACCATTTCCAAAGGATACACGAAGCAGCAGAATAACAGCGAGCAGGCCGAAAGCTGGCATATAGTAACCGATGGAGACAAAGTGAGAGAGGGACGGCATAAGGTAGAAGAAGTAGGACTGGTGCAAGCGCTCCAAGAGGTTATTCAGCTTACGATACATTCCTTCAAGGAGCCTAGACAAAACAAAATCAGCATTTTAGTGTCTCTTTATGAGGATCAGAAATGGAAGAAAAAAAAAAAAGCACCTGAAATATTTTATTTAAATACCTTCCAATGGTGGTGGCGTCAGTTTTGTACTGACGGAAGCTGTTGATGCCCTTGATGGTGGCAGCCTCGATGTGGTATCGCAGGAAGAGGCCATGATCCCCCCAAGGCCGCCCACTGGCCTGCTTCATCACCATCAACATCATCGTCTGCACTGAATGACTGTAGCCCGAAATGCTGTCCCAGTCATTCCTCTGCAGCTGTAGAAACATACAAAGAGAAAAGTTTCATTAAAACTTAAACCTGGACCTTGAAAGCCTCGGGATTTGGAGCGATCTCATTACGAGTTCTCACCTTGCCCTGGATGGTGCAGAGGACTCCTATCTTCTGGCAGAAGGCATAAAAGAGATTGGCTAAATCAAGGTTGGGAAGCTGGCCGTTCAGTCCTTCCAGTACCAGGTCCAAGCTGGTGATGACATCACTGCTGAGCTCAAGGGACAGAGCTGCCTGAATTGAACCACCCCGGCCTTGAAGTGGGGACCAATCCATACCTGGATTCACCATCACAGAAAACAACCCAACTGAAGAATTTAGGAGTTTTGCATAAACTGTGCAAGACTACTAAAATTTGAAAAAGAATTACAAGATCTTCAAGGATCTTTGTTGATGTGTTTCAAAACCTGCTGAATGCTGGTTCTTACCTGTAGTATTGGTGTGGTGGTAAGCTTCCAGCCAGGCTTGCATACCAATCAGATCATGCTCATTAACAAGGAAGATGATGTCCTTGGCCCAGTAAACCTGATCTGTTCAGGGACACACACACAGCAGCCATTATAACATGTAAAACATTTCCTTTTCCTTTAAAGGGTGGAGAAAGTTTTTGTATCCTCTACTCACTCCTGAAGTATTGTGCCAGGCCCAGTAGCAGCCCCACTGCCTGGTTGTTGTTATCGCCTGGGGTGCACGGGGCACTGAGTACCAGGGCTTCAGTCCGTGGAGCTCTGGGGGCCCGAAGGATCCCATATACATTTGTGCCTTTTACCATCTAAGGAAAAGGAGGAGTAAGACAAAGCTCAGCAAAGGAATATGGGTTAAAATATTTTCCAGTTTAAACCAGCCAGTCTCTAATCCAACAAATTGCTAATTCTTCAACTACAAACTTACATATCTCTCTTTGTTTTCATCGGGGAAGGGCAGAGTGCGAGAGAAACGCTGGGTAAACACCTCCAGGCCTCGATCCTTCATGGTCTTCACCAGCCAATCCACTGGCATTCCACTGCAGAGAAAAACTGGTTGCATTAAACTTGCTAAAAAAGGGACAAATATTAAGAAAAATAATGTGTATCAAACTCTGTAAAGACTCAGTATAGCACAAAACCCCTCAATGCCCTTGAACAACATTTATCATGAACAAACAATGTGATTGTAAACAGATATTTTTTTTTATTAATGCTGTATCTCTTTTCTTCCTAGCTTTGCACTACTCACCCTGCTTTCTTCTTATGAGCGGAGAACTCTCTGCCCGTGGCCAGCGCCCTCTCCCCTGATGGAAAGCGCTCCTCCACCATGGTCGAGCCCATGGCATTCTCTGACATGTATGTCCGCAGGGTGAACGGCTCAAAGGCCAAACCCATGAACCAGGCCACACCCGCCATGTAGCAGACCACACTGAGATGAAGGAAGGGAAATAATGACAAGTGATGTTGTACATTTTGGTGTATGTGGGTGCTGCAATAAATTGGGGGGCTGTGGGTGGGGGGGTGGGGGACAGTATTTATCACAGTTTGATATTTAAACTTTGCGTGACTGAAAACTCACCAGATTGGGGCATTGAGTCGAGTTAACAGGCTGGTCAAAGCCCGTCTTCTGTTTGGGTCAGACAGCAGTCCCATGTTGTGGTCAGTTATAACAGTATAACGCCTGGATACACTGGATCCTGAAGGCAACACACACACACACACTGGATCCTGAAGGCAACACACACACTGGATCCTGAAGGCAACACACACACACACTGGATCCTGAAGGCAACACACACACTGGATCATGAAGGCAACACACACACACACTGGATCCTGAAGGCAACACACACACACTGATAGTTCACCTTTCTACACACTTTGTAATATCAAACATTAAATATAACTGAGGGGAGGAACCACAAGATAGATTGTGATTTTGTCTACATATGAAAACATTGTATGGATATTTCAACACAGCTCACAGACTTGAGAATCGTGTTTTCTGTAACCCTTTGTCACTTCATATGTTGACAGATGTGGTTAGCTGGTTGCTAGCTGCCTCTTAGCGAGATGGTAAAATGTTAGAGACCGTCGTTCTCTGTTAAATCTGATTACATGATGTCATAACTATGCAGTGAATCCTCAAATATTTCTACTTAAAATATTTTAAAAACATACCTCTTTCCAGTGTTCAGCGGCTCACATCCACCTGCAGAGGTGGGGCTTGTTCACTCATTTTCATTTCATTTTCATTTATTTAAAACATATTTTTAAAGTAAAAATCAAAACACACATGAAAAACAAAGCAAATAACAATGAGAGCATTTCTGTTGTTCTAAAAGGGTGTAAAAAAACCTATCCAGTCCTACCACTTTTCTGTTTTTAACTTTATAAATTAATCCAAGGCCTGAGCTTTACAAAAATAACGTAGAAGAATACGATGACTAGCTAAGTAACAAATATAATAAACACATTAACTGGTAGATAACAGGACCTTACAACTGATATTGATTCACTTTTTTCATTGAAATTATAAATCTGTTAAATATGTTATTCTTGAAAATATGTTTAAACTTTCCTAATGTTTGACATGTTTTCATTTCTTCACAGCAGCTGTTCCATGAATTAACCCCCTTAGTTGTGTTACAGTCTAGTTTCACTTTGATCCTTCCTGCTTGTTTTTTTTTTTTTATAACATAAATAGCCCTCTTAGTACAAATCTATTTATTTTTTAAATCTAGAATGAAAACATGTACCTTCAGCTGGATTGTGCCTAGATTTTGTACCGATTAAACTGTTCTCGAGAACACAGGGTGCTGCCTGATTTTTCATAAATAACTTTACACAAAACTTCACATTGAACACCCTTTCTAACAAGGACCACAACCTGCTCAGCTGTGATGCTCTACTATAAATACTTCAGACAGAGGTCAGATTATTGTAAACAGTGCAGTAAGAACATAACATGCAGCACAAACATGAACAAAACTTGACGTACCTACAGGAAACTTATCACATTTAAAGGTGCAGGATTCAGAGACTCTGGTCTTTTTTTCTCATCAAACACGTGTCAAATTAAACCAGTAAAACAAGGCCTATACTAGGGCTGGGAAATATATCGAGTTTTTAAGATATATCGATATATTTTCAAACAAGATATAGGGTAAGACAATATCGTTAATATCGATATAGTTTATGTTGCATTAAAGGGTTAGGGTCATCTCACTGACGATGACTGACTGTCTGTCTGTCTGTCCCTCTTAACCCTGCTCCTCCTCTCTCTCTCTTTTATTATATTTAAGGAACATTTTTATTTTATAATATTGCTTTTTAAATTCACAAACAGGTACTTTATTTTTCCATGTGTTTTCACTGTTAATAAAATACACGTCGATATATACCGAGTATCGCCATTCAGCTAAACAATATCAAGATCTGAGTTTTGGTCCATATCGCCCCAGCCCAAGCCTATACACAAATTATTTGGGGATTAATTTCATTGTTTATAAAGAAAATATAAATCACTCTACTCTTGAAATAATATTTTAAAAAAGAAAAAAAAAAGTAAATTGCAATTAATCTAATCAAAGAGTCCAAAACCTGCGGAGAAGTCTTTTTTAATCAAAGCAGATTTAAGGTAGACTTACTGTTCATGGTTGTTGCTGGTTAACCTCCCCGTTTCCTGTTAGAAAAACACACAAATAAACAACCACATCTCTAACTGACACTGACATTTCCGCAATTCCGTTTCTAACCAGGCGGGCCCTCGAGTGTGACATGTTCAATGACCCAAATGAAACCGGTCGGCACCTTCTCCACCATTGCTGCTTCATGACTCGGTGGAGTTTCTTTGTCCTGTCACTAAAACAGGACAAGTCAGGAAAACATTCAGAGGAGCTGGTTTGATTCAAAGTCAACCCCGAGGACTTTTTTTTTTTTTTTAACAAGTACGCTAATTTTTCACTTTGAAAAAGCAGTTTCAATCACTTCTCAATCAAGACATTGTTCATCACAGCTGTTCCCCTGAGCCTTACCTGGGCGCAGCGGAGCGGAGTCACAAACACGTCCCGGGGATCAATAAACTTTGAAGGTGGACAAAACTAACGCAACGCTGCTTTACTTCAGTCTGAAACGTAGTCCGTGGGAGAGAGGCTGTGAAACGTGACCAGAAAATCTGCGTCTGTGAAATACAGTAAGCAGATATACTTTTTCCTCACAGCACTCGTGAGTCATGCAGCACACACACACACACGCACGCTCTCGATTTCCGCCCCTCCCTTTTCCTCCCCCCCTTTTCTGTCTCTGCGCGTCAAAGATCTTCATTTCTAAGCGATGTATCACTCCTTTGTTGAAAATGTTGACCAGAGTAGAGAGTAACCTCTGACTGGAACAATCTACCTATAAACATCAGAGCAATAAACTCACTACACATTTTTTAAGAAATCACTGCTACCTTTTCTCACAAAACCATGTTGCTGCTTCTAATGGTAATGTCTTCTTACCCCTCTTAATATCTTGATTGCATATGTCACTGTGTGCATCTACCTTTGCGGGAGGGATACGTGGGCGGATGGGTGTTGGAGAACCTTTATGTTTATGTGTGTATTTTGTGCTTGACTGTCTGTATCACACTATACTGTTGTGTTTTTGTTTTTGTGTTGGACCCCCCTCGGAAACGAGATGGTTCATCTCAAGGGGCAATCCATCAAATAAACAGAATTTCTCCCAACCTGCTTAAAAACCTCTGAAGGCAAATTTCCTGTGTTAAGTATCGTAGATCTCTAAAGAACCAAACAAAAATGCATATTGTTTAGCGTTACAAAAAAAAGCCCTATAGTGATATTTAGAAATTAAGCCAAATCGTGGCCTTTTGGCTCATATGCACATTGTGAAGGGGGGGCAGTCATCTTAATAAACACATTTTAATTTAAAATATGATCTGGTTGTATTGTAAAATAACTGATTGTTGCACGTATGATTAAAAAAAATTACCAAATTTAATTTCTAACTTTGACTGTAGCGTAACAAAATAAAAAAATATTTGTATTGATGAATGAATCCAGTAATGACTAACTACTAGGATTGGACTATTTTGGGGGGATTTACATTATATAAATAGAGGTAGGGGTCAATATAAATTGTTGCGTATAGATAATTACTTTCACTGAGAATTTTCGTCGATGCAAGTTGGGCTCTGTATGAAGTCAGCAGTTTATTTCGGCATAGAAAACGGTTGACCGTAAGTTTGACAGAGTCAGCATTTCCAATATGGCATCCGCCCTGGATAGGCTATCAAAACAGCCCTTTAGAAACCAATGGGTGACGTCACTCAGGCTTCATGCATGTTTTTTTTGCTCCCGCCCCATTAGACCCCATATTAATGCAGCTGCACCTCTTTGCATGTTACTAGATAAACTGAAAGTTAGGTTGAAACAGCGTTTTCTTTTCACTATGGCGCCCATCACAGTTTGGCTTCAAAATTCTCCTGCAGTAACCAATGGGTGATGTCACTGAAATTCAGACAATGTTTTATACAGTATATATGGTGCTGAGTGAGAGCTCTTGGTTTTTGTTCCCATCTTGTCTAACCTCAACTGGCAGACGAGCAAACACAGCTGTGCACACATTATATTTAAATAACTGCATTTTAATAATTTATTGTATACATCAGGGAGTAGCATTGAGTGTTTGCATATTCATCACTATTCATCAAATCATTCAAACTAATCATATCAGTATGAACATGATACAAAGATTGTTGTTCAGAATCACACAATGATTGTTTATTTCAGTTACAGATTTCCAGTTTAAAAAGAGCCCATAATCTTACATCCGATTCAAACTAAGGTTGAAAATTAAGCTTAAAAATGTGTAAATGCTGAAATCCTGTGAGCAAAAATGCTTGAAATAAATTCAAAACAAGTAAAAAATAATTTAAATTGCCTTTAAGTAGTCTTTTGTCTGTGGAAAGTTTGACACTAACGTCACAGCACAGTAGATCTGCAAATAGGCAGCGATGTGTCGTCAGTAAGAAAGCTTACTAACAATGTGATCCTATCTGCATGTATGTTAGCGAACAATCAATATTCATGACTAAATCAACCTGCACTTATAATTGTAAAGGCTATATCTACTTTAAAAGATAATTAAGACAACTGTTAAAAAAAATATGACAGAATACATTTAACCCAGACTCTGAGCGACAGTATACATACAAGTGATTTTGATAAAAGTTCAATAGAAAATCTAACTCCAACAAGTCAATGCGCAGCACATATTTCATTACAACACAGTTGGGAGTTTCAGTGCGGCTGTCTCCACATTTTTTTCTTTTGTGCAGCTGTTAACTTCCATCTCTTCTCAGCCTCTCTGTTTAAAACAAACACAGAGTTATAAACAGCTCAAGAATGAATTGGAACAGTTAAGGTTATAATACATGACAGATTTATGTGAATTAAAAAACAAACTAACCCCGGTGTTTTTGCTCTAAACCACAGTGTTTCTGACGTTTGGAGTAGCTTGGTTTTCTGCAGGAGCATCCTAGAAAAGAGAAAAGTGGTGTCACACAAGAGGTCCATGACAGATGACAACGCATGAAGGAGGAGCAGCTGCGTATGTGTCAAGTAACGAACCTTGTGTGGACTGCTCAGGTCTTTGATGTCAGAGTCAAACCCAGACACTTCCCCGTTCTCCAGTCCGTTTGCTTTAAGACTCTCCAGGTCCTCTCTCTCCTCAATGTGCAGCGCGCCGACGTTGGCTGCAGACAGCTGCATGTCCAGACTCTCCGAATCACAGGAGTTGTTCAGTTCAGAGCTGCTGTCACTTGGTGGAGCTTTGGCACCATCTCCCTGATTATCAGACTCTCCAGGAGGCTCGGACTCTTCTTCCTTCTCATCCTTCTCCTCCACCTGACTGCTCTCTTGCCCTGACCTCAGCTTGCTCCCGGCTGCCCCCTCTGCAGAATCCTCTTGGGATGGAGAACTGGGGGTCTCACTGTGAATCGACTGGGAATCAAGATCACTGAACTCAGAGGTGGCTCTCCAGAATGGATGACTGCGGCGTGACTGTGAGGGTGCTGCTCTCTCTGGACAGAGTGCTATGTCTGGGTTTGTCCGGAGACTTCAAGCTGAGCCTCAGTCCGGGTTTAGGACTGTAGCGCTCGGAGAAGCTGGCTTTCCAGGCCTTAGGAGACATCATAGATCGTCTCTTCAGGGAACCATACCTGAAATATTTGTAAAGTAAAGTATTTATAAAGTTAGATCAGACACAAAGCAAGGCAGGAATTGACATCAACAGTTGTAAGCTTCTCATTTGCAACTAATTCCTGACTATTTATTTGACCTTTATTTATCCAGGACCCCAGTCCCATTAAGACCAGAGATCTCATTTGTCAAGGGAGGCCATCCGTTGCTATACGTCAAAGGCCTCAATTTGGGGATCTTTGTTTTGGAGATTTAGAGGTCGGACGTGTTTACTGATAATTACTCTGTTAATCTTTCAGGTTTTACTTGTTTTGTTGCCACCTGTGGACAAAGAGTATGTTTTATCTCTTTGCTGATCGCTTCCTGTACATGTGTAAGTTGTGTTTTCTGACAAAAGTAAAATCGTACTTTATATCTTAAATGTGAAACATGATCTCATAATGAATCTTTGGTGTGTTAAAACTTTAAAACAGATGTATCAGCAACGTGCCGTTTATTGCCTCGTCTGCAGGAGTGACAGGCAACTAAAAGTATAGAAATATAATGTGTTGTCGCTGAGCGTCTCGTTTGCTTTGGTAGGTCATGAAGAGACATTATTATTTATTTCAGTTTGTTTCATTACCAGCAAGATACTCCTCACAAGAGCTTTAATTACTGAAAGCTGCAGCAAAGTTTTCATTTCTAACAACCAAACGCTGATAACACTTTCAAAAGTGAACATTTAGCCTTAAAATGGTTTGTATGTTTTTCTTTTATCCCCACGTGGAGACATCATCTTTTCGTCCTCATTTAAATATCTAATAAAAAAAAGTTATTTATAATAATTGCAGGATGCAAAACATCCAAAGATTTATCAGTAAAGAAATTAAAACAGTGTTTTGTGATCTGAAAGGTTTAAAAAAAAAAAAGAAGAAGCTTGAGCTGTCATGGTGACATCATTTTTTAGGACAAACTATTACGGGCCAAATTTTTATTTTTCTTAAAAACTTTCAACGTCTCAGATAAAAATCTGAGCTTACCGTTGCATTCCCCTCACAGCGAACACTTTCTCTGGATGTTGAGCCTGCAGCTCCTTTATCACGCTGCCAAGATCCAGGTTCAGCTAGAAAATAATCATAATTAAAAAAAAAAGAGAAGGACGTGTGAAAAAAAACTTCCTTTTAACACTGAAAATTTCCAACTTCAGCTGACGCAGAGCCAAACGCACCTTGCTCATTTCTTTATGGAAGACGTCTCGTAAGCTTGCTAAAGATGAGAACACTGAAACGTAGCATCCAATACGACTACAAAGGTAAAAGTACGAAAAATGTTATGTCACAAAATGTGCACGCCTTTATTCAGAAATTTCTATAACAGTAAATATTCTATCAGACCTTTCAAAGAGCTGAGGCAGCTCGTCCTTTAAGTCGTTGTTGAGGCCTTCATAGACACTTTTGGCAGCGTTCATGTCTTCTTCTGCCTGCAGAGAGAACATTTTGAATTAGTTTTTGAACTCTTGAGGGTTCAAATTACACAATTAAAGATGAGTGTAGTGTTTTAAGACCTTTTTTATTTTGACATCATCTCTTTTCTTTGCCGTCTGCAGCGCCTCCAGCTGGTGCAGGGAGGAGTCGTAGTCCACCAGTTTTCTCCCCCTCTTGGCCACTTTCTCCTACAGATTGAACAAGACAGACATAATGTGTGTGTGTGTGTGTGTGTGTGTGTGTGTGTGTGTGTGTGTGTGTGTGTTTATGTGGATATGAAAGCTGTGTGCGTGTCTGTGTTGGTTTTCTCTCAGGCCTTTTGTCTGTCTGTGTGTATTCACTTCTGTCTGCTTGCGTTTATACTCTCGCCTTACCTTCACATCAGGGAATTGGCTCACATAGGACTCCATGGTGCGGACGGCCTGGTCCATTAACTTCACCTCGTAGTCATTCCACAGGAGATCCTCTCCCTGATTAAGAGGCGCAGCATAAATATCACATTAATTATGTATAAAGAGAGGGGGGAACGAATGGGGTGTTTGGTCCCCATGGCGATGTGAGAATCTCTCAGAACTTGTACAACATGAAGAGTGCAGCAACTATATACCGTCCCTGGGATTTATATAATCACAGATGATTATACACACACCTCTACAATGGCTCCCAGGTCTTCCCCTGCAACCCATTCATGTTCGTAAGCATCAAACAGAGATTGGGAAAGTCGTCTTGAAGCTTCACGCATGTCTGTAAAAAGCAGAGTTGTTCACAAGGGGACATGCAGGGGACAAAAATCAGCCACACTGCAGCGTCTTAAACAAACGTATTTTTACCTCTAACTGCATTGATGTAGTGCCTCAGGTCCTTGTATATGCGGTTCCCATCAGTCTGCAGATACAGGAGGTTTGCATGTTTGTCAGGCTTTAAATGTATTACTGTTATGAAGTTTGATTCCCTCAGTATACAGGTGATAAATCATCCAACATGTTAAATAAGCAGGGATGGTGTTTGTTTTGAAGTCTCCTCCTCCTCCTCCTCCTCCTCCTCCTCCTCGTCATAAAGCAGGTGAAGGATTTACCTGCTGGTCCATGAAATGTTGGACGGACTGTTCAAAGTAGTCGTCTCTGGTTTCTACCGATTTTCCCAGCCTCTGCAGCACCTGCAGGAAACAAAAACAACAACACATATTTCAGAGCTTACAGCAGGTTAATGGACATTAGAATGTTCCCCTTGATGTTTGGAAAAACAAAAGCAAACTTTGCACACTGTTACCTTTTCTTTGCCTCTGCTCAGTCGCCGCTGTAATTTCTTAGTAAAGTCACCGGAGCTTCTTTTTGGATTTGTGTTCTCAGCCATATTTGGTCTTGATTGTGTTTATTCCTGATGATGAAGGATAAATAGGAGAAACAGTGCATTACTACATCGCCTGGTAACAAAAGGTCTATCTCTGGGCTTCTTATGCCTTTATTCTGTACGACAGTGGATAGAGACAAAAACTGGGGAGAGTGAGAATAGGGGATGACATGCGGGAATGGAGGTTATTATTCTTGTGTGGTGTAAAAATTGATGTTGCACACACACTCACACTCACATGCAGATATTCATAAACCTCATACATGGACAATTACTAGTTTAGGTTTGATTGTCAGTGTTACTGTATGTTTATTCTTCATTAAAAGTTTTACATGTTTATCTTGTTATGTTATTTTCTGTATGTTAACTATGTTTTTTTTTTTATGTAACATTATTTAGGAAGTGGAGGCTTCAAATAAGCTCTCTGGGTTTTCTGTCTCTTTCTGCACTTTATACGATCTATCTTTGTTATCTGATCATTTTGGATTATACAAAATAAAAGCTACGGAATCAAAAGTAAAAACAAAAATGTGGATACAAAGACACAACCTCCCTTTATCCATCTACATGAGCATTAATTATCACCAGGAGGAGGTAGTAAAACATTGTGGGAACATATCTAATAGATACCATTACACCACTCATAGCCCCACATGGTAATACTATATTGTAATTTTTTGAATGTATGCCAAGTCATGTAGTTCAGTTCTGCTCAAATTACAAATATGTCATAGTATCATAACCAATTATTGTAGTGAATTTTCAAAATATTTATGCAGCACTTACATAATTTGCAGCACCAAATACACCGATTAATGTCATTTTTTATGTTCGGAATTAGATTCTGTCAACAAACTTGATTTTAGAGGCTCCCTGCACCTCTGGAAATGTGTTTTTTAAGCGCTGATCCTCTAACAACTACAGTACCCAGAGTGCCCCGCGGGGTGAAGCCACTCCCCGCAGTCGAACGGCAGCGGCGGTGAACTTTAACCAAAGTGTTTTTGTGTGTTGCTGCTGGTGTTGGAGGAGTGGCTTTACATGACAAGCGATCACATCTCGGCGCTGCTCGCCGACCTGCACGACCTGATCATGGGGAGCACTCTGGTGAAATGTGCCGCCGCAGACCTGGGCATCCAGTGGGCCGGCTGGGCTCTGGCTGCTGCCTTCAAAACCGAGAAGTTTTATGACCTGGCAGGTAATGTGGACAAAACTGGGCCAACATAGGCTTACTTTGTCCCCCTTGTTGCTCATTTGAAGCCATGTGGAGACTGGTTTTTGCAGTCAGTATTTATTTATCGGTAAAAAACTGGACTTTACTTGAAAGCAGCACACCATAGGCACTACACTTTATTTATTTTTGTTAAGCTGTTCAGTGATTTAAGTTTTAAAATGCACTTTTTTTTAAAATCTGAATTCAGACGTTGAACTGTAACCTTTTAGTTATAAAAGCTGTTATCTAAAAAGAGATTTGTTGTGAAACAGCCAAGAAAGCTCCTCCTTCAACTTAAGATGAGGATCCAATCAGCTTAACTTTAATGACCCGGAGTCAGCAGGGGCGTACAGAGGATATCCTGGGACCCTTTTATAGACCAGAGATGGCGGCTTTTTGAGACTTTATATTGTTTTAAAGTTATTACCTTTGCATTAAAAAAAACATTTAACTGACAAATATAAAAATCGTAGCACACGAACAGTCCTATTAAACATTCAAAATATCTGTAAAGACAAACGTATGACCGACAAAATGAATCTGTAACTATTAAATTAAAAATAAGATATATGAAGTAGGAAACAATCCACATTTTCAAATGTTATTCGTGATTTTCTGCTTATTTTTTTCTTCTTACGTGGTTGCCGAAATGAATTACTTTTGCTTTTTTGGGCTGTTTGGAGCTGAGAATGAGCGACTAGTAGGCGTCACCCTGGCCTTTATGTGCTTCGATTTTTGACTTATCTAGCGAATTGGCAGATTATCCTACATAGCATGTTATCACTAATATAAACTTAAACCACAAGCCTTTAAGCTTTAAATTTGAACCCTTTTGACTGTGAGCTTTCAAAAGGTGAGTTACACCTGTGACAGGTTCTGTGCGTAAAAAGTCAAGTGCTCAACCAGGAATAAAGCGAGAAATTTGCAAAGTCATTCAAGGTGCTTTTAGGCCTTAGTACAGATGATCGTACAGCGCAACTTACCTGTGCACACCAGTGAGCGACTTCTTTATAATTTCCCCCAAATGAGTCACCTTGACACTTCTCCTGCGCTCGTCCTCTTCTTCTTTTCTGCCCTGCGCGCTCTGCTCCTGGATATTTTACCCTTGAACTTTGGAACCAATTGTCTGCAGTATTCTGGGTAAAAGATTTATTGACCACGCCTTACGCACTCCGCAGGGCTGTTTGACATACCCATGTCCCAACCACTCCTGAATCTGCAACTTCTCTCTCTCTCTCTCTCTCTCTCTCTCTCTATTTTATTAACAGGATCTGGCACATTTATATTGCTCGCCCACCTGAGTCGTATCTGGGGAGGAGCCAGTCATGTCCGTCAGAAGGTGCAGACTGGGTGTGTGACAGCGTGGGGGCTCAGGTACATAAGACAGCAGCGATAAAGACAAAGTGAAACCCCCTCGCACAGATCAATAAAAGCCCTACAGGAATGCAGATTGTATCTTCTTGCATGAAGCCTCGTGTACGTTAGGTTTTGGAGGGTCCTTGGAGGGGTCAGAGGAGGAACTAATGAATGAAACACCTTAACGTCTGGTTAATGAATAATGCCTTAGTTAATGTGAACAGACGTTAACCGTGTTCTCTGTGCAGGCTGGGAACATTCCTCTTCATGCGGATCTTGAAGGACGGTCATGATCGCAGGTTCAACAAAGTCAGAGACAGCCCAGGGACTTTCTTTGTGTACTGGACCATTCAAGGTACTTGCATGCAAAGTGAAAAGCCTTCCTCTATTTACCCCAGAAGTCCTCGACCAACTCAGCAGAGTTACCTTGAATAAATCACTCTCATTTACATGCATTTGTTCAAGGCGGAGGAGGTGTTGGTTAGATCATTTTAGTCTGTGAAAGTATGGAAGCAAACGTGGCGGCAGAAGATGAGTTATCATTACCTGTTTTCTCACAGCGTTGTGGGTATTTATGACCCTCCTGCCCACCCTCATGCTGAACAGCGAGAAGCGGGACGTGCCCCTGGGAACGAGGGACTACGTCGGCTGGACGATCTGGGGCCTCGGCTTTGCTACCGAAGCGATTGCCGATCAGCAGAAATGGTTTTTCAAGCGTGACCCAGATAACGCTGTAAGTCATATTAGTCCGTATCACCCCCCCCACCCCTGCCAGAGTCCATATACACACAAAAAAAAAAAACACACAGAAGTTCATCATAAAATACAAATAAACAGTGATTAGGTGGATGCAAAGGAAAACAATAAAAATTGATGGTAAACAGCTTGCTCCACAGGGGAGCGCCAAAATCAACATGAGCCAAGTTTCCACACAGGAGCTTTAAGTCGGTCATCTTCATTTTCAATTTTCTCCCTACATAAAGAGACATCAAAAAATAGTTTCTCCCTTCATTAAGTTCATACAAATTCAGTTTAACTCTCTTCTCTCATCCTCTGAAAACAGTGAGGACATTAGGTTTTGTGCTTTACAGTCAGCAGTTTTTATTATCAACTAGATAACAGGATTTTCGAGCCTGTCTCATTAATGAATAATGTGTCCCTAAACTGCAGTAATGCATAATACCCTGACTGTAATAACCAATTTTAATCTTCCTCCTCCAGGGGAAGTTCATCCAGAGTGGACTCTGGGGCTACAGCAGACACCCAAATTATTTCGGGGAGATCCTGCAGTGGTCGGGTCTCTGGCTCTCGGCCTCCTCGGTGATGCAGGGTCTCAGTACCTGAGCGCGGCGTCGCCTCTCTTCGTCTGGTTCCTGCTGCGATACGTCAGCGGCATTCCCATCCTGGAGAAGCAGGCGATGAAGAAGTGGGGATCCGACCCGGACTTCCAGGACTACATTAGGAACACTCCCCTGCTCTGGCCATGGCCCAAATTTTGATTGTTTTCTACTTGTTATAATGATTGAATATTTAATCAACTGTTGAATCAATAAACGCCTCACAGAAGATGTTTGTAATTCTTTAAAATTTAAGTTTCCAATTCAGCACAGGTCGTCTTCATATAGGATAGCTTTCTGTAAAAGATCTCTCTGTGGAACGACTTCATTTTAGTTTAATATACCGGTCCAATGTCCTTCATCAGAGACTTTCTGACTATTCTGACATTACTAGAAACAAACAATCTGAAGTTTACACCGACTTCACTCAGCTATGAGAATGCTGTGTTGACAGGGTTTGAGACATTTTCCTTTATTTTATTTAGTTTAAACCAGTGGTTCTCAAATGGTGGGTAGGGACCCAAAAAGTTTTTTTGTTGCATGAAGTCTATGATGCGCTTTTGTTCCATCTGAAGTCCAAATTGCACAATCTTTCATGAAATAAACAATAAAGTGTGGGTCACCATTCCTAGAGAAGGAGGTGGTGGGTCCTGAGGGTAGACCAGTGAGGGAGCACTGGTTTAAACCATTCCTGAGAAATTAAGGGTTAAAACACGAGTACAACTTCAAGTGTTGACCTTCTGGAAACTCCCAGACTGCCTCGTATACATACTGTTGATTCTCCTCTGTAGGTCGACATCTTTGGTAACACTCAATCGATTCATCTTTAAGTTGTCAAACTATGCCTCAAATTAAGTATTCAAAAGACTTATTTTGACAACCTACAGTATAAGCAATAAAAACCCTGATTTACCATCATAACTGAGAACAATTTGACATCAGTTTTGAGCCAAGTCCTCAATCTGTGTTGGCATGTCATCCTCACTCTCTTCCCATATTTCTGTCTTTACATACCGTCCTATCCAATGAAGGCAAAGGCCAAAAACTGTATTTAACAAGTGAGCATAGAAACAGACCAGAATCAGAAAACGTTTGGGTTTTTCGCACACATCATTGTATCTTGTAGGGGAGAGGAGGTTTGTCTACCTTGTACAGCTGAAGGATGGAGCATCGGTACATTTGTCTCTATAAGGCCTGTCTTCTTATTCATAATACAATATGATGACTTGGATCACAAATCCGGACTCTAAACCAAAGCAATCACACTAAGCATGAACAGAAAGCACATCGAACACCGAGTAGAGGTTGGAAATGTATTTTATAATTTACAAGACTTATAAAGTGTGTATAAAAAGTATGCTAAATGCCATCAAATCATGCAGCAGTAACTGAACTGGCCAAATTATACAGTTTAATTGCCATTACTCACAAGGAGCTTTCCAAAAGTACAAACATTACAGAGAAATAAACATTGTGAGATCGCTGTGCTCCTCCAGAGATAACAGCCCGACACATAAAGCAGTGAATAATTCTCCTAATGATCACTGGCAGAGCAGAGCGGAGATACACTGGAAGCATAAGGATCGTAAAGATTTGCAAATTCTGGTCCTCTTCTCAACTTTTTTTTTTTTTTTTGCAAAAAGCATTCATCTCAGTTAGTCTTGCAAATGATTGAGAAGATCTTGCCAATAAAAATGTTTGCCTAATGGTGTTGTTACCATGATAAAACCCCAAATCAGTACTACAGAGGCATTCTGCCAAGAAGAGGGGCCTGAGCAATTTAAATATTTACATCACAATTCACAGGGGGGGGGATAGAGACGATGAAAACTCAATGGAAGTGAACAACAAACATCAAAACTAGAATGATTATGTTACGCACAGTCACACACTCAGTTACACCCTTCAAATGAAATGCCTTAGAATCAATTCTTCAACTTCTGAGTGACACATGAGTTGAAAAACTGCAAAAGGAAATGATTAAATGTAAAAGCTGGTCACAATAAAACTACATATTTCAACCTATGCACACATAAAAAAAAACAACTACAATTAAGTACATTCTCATTTGTTTTGAGGCAAAATAAGAATAAGGAAAAGCTCTACAGACACACAGATGTGCATAGATATAGAAAAACTACTATTTGGTTAAAAAAATCCTTCCACAAACACATAAAATCAGCAAAAGGCAACCCTTTGGATTGTGAAATATTACACTTATAAGTAAGAGGGCTATAAAACCCTTAATATTAGTCGTTATCAAAGCAGTACCAGGTTATGCATTAATGGTTGCATGGTGGTTATTGCAGTGTGCGAATGGAGGGTTAGGGTTCAGCTGCGTTCGGGGTTATTTCAGGAGAGGAGATGCAAAGAACTTTCCCTGGCGATTGAATCCCACTGCCGATTTGCTCTTGCTCCCGAATCTGCAACAACAGAGCGCAGACATAATGACGTTTAATTATTAGGAGTCAATAAAACAGAGTCCAATGAGAGATAATGAGATACTGTAGAGAAGATTAACTCCAGAGGAAGATGTTCTAAAGGAGTCAGCTTTTTCTCCAAATGTATATTAACAAAAACATGTATTATTCAGCTTGATATACATGAATCAGCAGTACAAAAGTTCAAGAGGCGATTAATCATAAGGTCATGGGTTTGTGAAGTCAGTTTGAAAGCGGGGCCGGTTTGGTCGGCGCTTGTGTGTTTACCTTGGGGTCAGACTGGACTTCATGCGCTGAGACAAGGAGCTGGAGGAGGGGGTTTTATTGAACTGGTGCTCTGGAGTGGTCAGAGGTCCCAGCATGCTCACTGAAACAACAGAACACACATTACAATGAAATATCAGCCAGCCAACAGCCCTGCAAAGGCCTGCACAAACACTGCAGCACAAACAGCAGTTTCGTTTACAGCTGAGCTCGTACTTCTATCAGGTGTGGCGTAGCAGTTGGCGTTCTCGATGATCAGGTGATCCAAGTTGGGCTGCTCGGTTTCCGCCATCACAAACTGACCCCAGTAATTCGCCGGCAGAGCCAGCAGACGCTCCACGACCTGAAGAGAAAAAAATACATTATGGGATTCATAAAAATGCTTAAAGATCAGGCCTGTTTCAGCGTGTTGCATCATCCTCTGTTTATGCCGACGCCTGAGATGAGACGGAGGGGAATTACTAAGACTACAGTACTGAGACGATGCTCTGAAGCAAAGTAGAAATCATTTTGAGAGACTTGTGGTAGGTCAGTCTAACAAACTAGACTGAGCTACATGGTTAGAGTTAAGCAGCCTGTTACACCCTCTATGTGTAAGTTCAGTCTTATGATAAGTGATGGTGTAAAGTCTGCACTACACTCTACGTTGAAACTAATTAGTTAAGTTGTGTCAGAGATTAGTTTTACCACGGGGACGTAAGGTTCATTAGTAAAGCCCAACATCAAAACTAACCTAAATATTGTTGCAGAAATTACATGGTAACACTTTACAGGTCCGCAAAGTTTGTCGTAATTAGGTGCTAATTAGACAATTATTTTTCTATTTCTTTGAAATTACCCCTGAATTTCATGACAATTGGGTGAAAATTAGCACGCAACTTCTTTGAAATAATGCCTTAATTGAATTGTAAACAAGTCATAATTGGTAAGTAACTGTGTTTTCCAATTTATTAACTGCTAATCTGGAAATATCAGAATACACACATATACATATATATATATATATATATATATATATATATATAGAGAGAGAATATAATATAGTTATTATTATAATTATATTGGGATAATTCTCCATACATTTTGTGGTGAATTGTGATTTAATTTAAAATAAATGATTTACTAATTGTCACCTTCTTACCGTGGAATTTGGGGGTAATTTCAAAGAAATTGGAAAAAACAGTTACTTACCAATTATGACTTGCTTGCAATTCAATTCAGGCATTATTTCAAAGAAGTTACAAGCTAATTTTCACCCAATTGTCAGTAAATTCGGGGGTAATTTCAAAGAAATAAAAAAAAAGTTTGTCTAGTTATCGTCTAATTAGCACCTACTTACGATGAAATTTGCGGACCTGTAAAGTGAAGTGTTACCAAAAGCATTTTCATAATGCAATGTTTGTTTCAGTGCTGCCTCTTGTGTCTGAAGAGATTAAGAGTTTAAAATAATTCCAGTTAAAGTTAGAATGTGCGATATTTTACATCCAAAAATACAGCAGAAGATATGTTTACATAGACGGGACAGCCCTGGTTATAAAGCTGTTTCAGTCAAGCACTAGAGGAAACTCTGCTTATTTGGAAGTCAGGTTAGTGTCCTTACTTACACGCTAAAGAAACTTTCCTAACTTAATTTTCCCACATTGTTAGCGGGGGAGTCGGCCATTCCGACGCCAACATCAAACTGACTCCTTATATTCAAGGAGTTCTGAGAAAACTATAAATGCAGGCCTGTGCTACATAACTTTGTTTTTTTGTTTTTTTTTATTCAAGAGGAATTTCTGTTGGGAATTTAAGAGTCAACACACTTGAGGTTACATCAAAACATGCACAAGAACACTCCACTTAACAAGAATAGGTCTATTAACACGAGGAGACACGCACATAACTAATATTACACAATGCCCGACTCACACCTACACTCTGCTGTCAACAGTATGTGGGGGCTTTTATTGTGAAGCAGTCACAGGAAACAATATATTCACACAAAATGATGACTACAAGCTAACAAGACAGTGTCACTTTCTGCCTGTCGTGAATGGGACTCAGAAGTTCAGACTTGGTGAAAAAGCCAGAGAGAGAGAGTCACTTCTCTTCAGACATCTCAGAGACTGTGACTAACTCTTTTCAGCGTGCTCAGGATCACATCAGATGACAGTTGCTCAAGGCTAAATGTAATCCTCTCTCCCTCTCTGACAATGAAGCTTTTCACAAGTGTTGGCTGCAGCCACAATCCGTTACACTGAAAAAAAATCTTTTAACCAACAGTAAGCCGGGTGTGACCAAACAGGAGACAACTAGAAGGTTTTATATTTAGTGATCTATATGAGTAACCACAGACCAAAAAAAAAATGCTTTGCAGTCATGGATGTGGGGATTTGATCAGCCTTACCTTAGGTTGTCTTTTGGTATCCTGCAGGATTGTCATGGGGTCTGGGTTGGGAACTGCATGACCCACGATGGTTGGACCAAACACTCGGGCCAAGTTACTGATGTCCATCCTCGTGTCCAAACTGTCCGCAACTCTGAAAGATTAAAAGAGGTTTTTTTTTAAATGTTCTTTAGGGGTCTAGAAAATATCTAACAATTAAGTTCTGCGGTTTCTTGTTTCATTGTACTGACTCATTTATCCTAATTTTTTTAAAAAAAAAGCAACTACCAACTTTTTAATTAATAGTAAAAAAATCAACAACTTTTCCCCACTGTAATGAACATTTGTAATTCCATCCACAGATTGCACGAGGAGTGGCACCATGACGTTGGATGAAACACAGATAAGAATCAATACTCTCATTGGATCCCACTGTTGAGATATCTTAAGGTTTTGATCCCTCAGGGAGGATATACCACAGAGGGAGATTAGAGTCCAGGACAAATTTCCCCAAGGGGACAATAAAACCTCAAATCACTTTAACACTTCATGTCAGATTCACCCATTCACACACTGATGACAGAGGCTTCTGCTTATAGTGTCTAACATCTGTACCTATCCATCAACACACACTGACTTAAACAAAACTGGAAGTCAATTTAGGGTTCAGTGTCTCGCCCAAGGATGACATGTAAATGCAGGAACTGGGGATTGAACCCCCGACCATCCAGTTAAGAGAAAACGGACTCTACCACTGAGCTTCAGCTGCACCAATAAACAAACTTTACCTGTCTAAAACCATCAAGTTCAACCAGATGAACCTGCGTTGTTTATTAAAAGCAAATTCTGCCTGGAGCGATTCAGTCTAATTAAGTTCAGAAGACAGAAAAACATTGAAAAAGGTCAGATACAGAGACGAAAGACTTCTGTGAATTCATCGAATCCCAGCAGTGAAGTGTAGCAGGAATAAGCGAGGCATCAAATTGACTTTGCGCTGAGATATTCAGAGTTCATAGAGGTTCACAGGAGTAATATATGGTGAGGAGAGTCGCTGCTCACCTCTGCAGGTGAAGCACCAAGAAAGCCAGCGTGTCTCTGTTGGCCAGCGGCAGGTCACCGATGGTTTGGTACATCAGAGCGATGCTGTTGTCGTCGTCGGAAACCTCTGAGAGGGAACAAGGAAAGCAATTTCATCAGCACAGACCGAGAAAGCCGAGGTTGTTTGGGCTTTAATGAACAACTTGAAAGAAAATGTATCTGACTCCGGTGACAAATAAATTCTGAAAAAAAAAAGAAGAAAGGCCAACGAACTGAACTCTTTCTTTGTTCCACTGCCTGAATATACTTCCAAACACTTCTCAGAACAAATAGCAAAAACAAAAGTAGAGGAAACACTCCCGAAACTCTCATTTAACGGCTCTGTCGGGTACATTTCTGCTGTCTATTAATAAATTAGGGTAAGTACCAGTTGTTTAACAGTAAGTGCCATCTTACACACCAGCCGCACACACACACACACACACACAAACAAACAAACCTGCTGCGTCCATGAAAGGACGGTTGAGGCGGAAGGTGAGCAGAGGCTCCTTCAAGTTCCTCAGGAAGTCCTTCAGCAGGCCGGTGATGGCGTTGATATCGTCCACCTTGCTGAGCAAAGGAACCGTTTTGCTGCGAAGGAACTTCTCCTTCAGCTCCTTCACTGTGCGGTCAGCGCCAGAGAGACGGTACAGTCCAGCCTGAGAGGGAAGCAATACAAGAATTCAACCTTTTGATTTCTAAATACTCTTTTCATTGATCTAAGGAAATGACTCTGAAGGCCACTTGAAACCCAAAGACACAGTTCCAGCAGGTAACTCACCTTGAAACCACGACTTGTTCTTTAACTTGTCGTTGTTGTAGAAATGTAAAAAAGGTGTTTACACTTTTTTAGTTACGTTTGAATAACTTTGGACGGAGACCGGCTAGCTGGTCCCCCCCCCCCGCCTCTAATCTTTATGCTATGCTAAGTGTAGCCATTTTATTATTAGTCTCTACAAGTGCAAAATCACTCGAGCACACTCACTGTCTGACATATATTCATGAGGTGCTGAAGTGCTCGACCTTTATCAAGCAAATCATTTGTGACAATAGCCCTTTTCAGAGTGTAATTTCTCAACGAAGGTGCGCCATCATTGCACAGCAGGAGGTCCACATACACACACAGTCAGACATGCAAACACACGATCCCATCTCGCCACTGTAACGCCTCTGTTTCACTTCCTCCAAGGGTGGCACAGAGTTGAGATCACTTCATCCCCCTAGAACACCAAAGGGGCGTAAATATCAAGCCTTGAACACTAGAGATGGGACCCGTCCCTTATATCGGGTCTGATATTGAAGCAATTTACGTATCGGATATCAGACTGAAGGCGCAGATCCACTTCACTGATCACGAAATATGGTTGGCCGCTTGCAAAGTCTAACTTTAAAGACGTTCAGACTGAACTGTAAGAAGTGCCCACAAATTGTTTCCATGACGACGTTCAGGCGAGATGGAACAGCTCCTTCTATAATGATGAAAAGTAAAATTCTTACTCTTCAGTTTGGAACATTTTAATTTGAAAACCTGACAGCTGGTGGAGCTTCCTGTTTGTATGTGAAGCCAGCACAATGCAATGCTGGGTTTACTAATGAGGAGCTATCTAGAAGAGGGGGTCTGCAGCCAATCACGATCCAAAAGTTAAACACAGGCGTAAACATTTTAAAAGTTTTACATCAATGTACTACCATAAAGGACAGAAGAGAAGAAAAGTAAACCTTCAAAAGCACCGACTTAAGGCTAATACTCATCAGAAACACTTGTAGTTACCTTGTCAGGCCCAGAAAGATAGAAGACAATATTTAGAACAAGTAAAGTAAGAGCAGAAAACGTCTTTAAGATGAACAAAAAAAGCCAACCCGTTCTAACTTTTTTTAATCCAAGGAAAATAAGACGGGATCAAAAAAAAATCAAACAACAGAAGGAGGAGACAGCAGCACAGTCATACAGACATCTGCTGATTTTCAGCCAGTCCAAATACAAACGCAATCGCCCAGAAATAGATGATCAAATCTAAGTTAAACCACTAGCTTCCAGCTAAATGGGAGAAATAACATCTGTCTTTTATTCTGCATTTTACTCAAAGAGAAAAAGAAGAAGACCCCTCACCTCATGCAGGCCTCTCTGCTCGATCTCGCTGATACAGTGGACTACAAGAGGAGGGATCATGGGGGACATCTCAGGGACGTAGTCCGCAAGCACACCCTGGAAACCAAAGAGAGACGGGGTCAAGAGTCATCACTGTGACAACATGTCAGAGAGGAAATGAACTTTGGATAATCAAGAGATTGCGGGTATGGATAATATTCTCACACACCTCCCCAATTTTGACTGGAGTTGCACCCAGGTTGGGGATGCACGGCAGGGGGCAACGGTCGCGACACTCGGTGTGTGAGACCACCCTGCAGTCTCTGCACTTCAGGGAAAGCTTCCCGAACTTGATCCTCTTTCCGCAGGGCACGCACGACTCGGGCTTTATGACCTTTAAAACACGTTAAAATCATGCGAGAGGCTGGTTAAGAAATGTGTGTTAAAAAGTTTACAGTCACAATAAACTCATTCAAATGCTCTGCATCAGTACAAATGGAGAGGCAATTACACATCTTTTCATTCTGGGTGCAATTAGCTGAGAGTTAGATGCCAAAATAAGTACAGAACTATAAAACATGTCGTGATTTTAATCTCACGGGCTAGACGATAAGAATTTAATCAAGCTCATTGTGAAGATGCAAAGATAAAAAAGGGAGAAACGTCTCATTTGAATTCATTCTTACAGTTTTAGAGACAAAGTCGTGATGGCGGACGCTCCCGTGGCTCTGTGGAGTGCTGGGCTGTGCTTTCATCTCTCCTTCAGGGTTGACAGGCTGCTTGAACACGTCCTCAGACTGGACAGATTCAGAGTCCCACTCCATGACAGCTGAAGATTAAAGATTAATAACAGTGTGTTACATGCCCGCCTGGCCACCATGCAGCAGTTTGGGGGAAATATAGCATCAAATGGCTGTTGCTGCATAACTCAAAACATCCACAGAAATAATGATGACACACAAGTTACAGTAGACTTTTTAATTATAATTATAAATATGATTTTTCTTTCTAATTCAGCTTTAAATTGAACTTCTGTTGTTTTTTTTCCTTGTCCTGTCCTGTCTTTGTTTTGTTTTTTATTCAAAAAAAAAAAAAAGGTTGCAATGCATTCTCAAGTCACTGTGTGAATGAAAAGTGTAAATGAACATTGCAATAAAGTGGGGGAAAAAAAGTTACAGTAGGCTACAGTGGTGGATGAGGATTTGACATGTGCTGGTTCTTCTAAAATGGCTTTAGTATTTGAAAGGTATTACTGAGTGTTTTATACAAACTCAGCTGGATGTGAACCAACAGGATCATTGTACTAAGCCACCATTGTGTTAACCAGAGGGCGTATACAAAGACAAGTTTTACCATTAATACACAATACAGAAACTCTTACCAGTCTTTCTCCTGCTGCGAGTCCAGTAAGGAACAGTCTCGATGGTAGAAATGGCCTCAACAGGTCCTCCATTTGGAGGGACAGTCACGGTGGTTTTGGTCACCAGGGCCTCATTTCCCTGTAAATACAAGAAAGTCAGAATAACACTTACAACCAAACTCAGTCAAGCTATAAGAGCTGGATAAAGACTTGTGACAAATTGGAGTTGCCACATTTTATGTTCCATAAATCCTCTTATAGTAACAGGTAGTGAATTAGAGGGCGGGGTCTCTGGTGACGGTCAGGGGGGGTTAGGCTTGCACAAAGGAAAAAAGGGCCACTTCCCCTTCACAAGCCAGGGCTGCTAATGTACAAGCATTACTGCACTTACAGCAGGCAGATAATATATAAAGAGTTGTTTAATATAAACACATCTTACCCTCTCTGACGTTCTGCCTGTTGATCGAGAGCGTTTGGACATCATTGGAGGGCCGTCGACATGGTTTCTTGAGGAGCGCTGAAATCAAAACAGCAGACTTGACATCTACACTTCAAAAGGGATTATGAGACCGTTCTTCTCAAAGACAAAACGTTGAAGGAGAGGCGCTGCACACGGGCTGAACATACCCTTTTCTCTCTTTTCTTGAGTCGCACTGTCCTCACATTAGAGGAGTCCCAATCCTGTCGCACGGAATCAGATTTCAAAATGTGAAAGAACAGTCTTTCACGACATGTTCGTTTAAATGTACACAGTTATGAACAAAGAGATTCTTACGAGAGAGTCGTCGGTTTTGTCGTAGCTGATGTCTGACAAAATGGAGGCGGACTCGTCTATCCTCGTCAGTCTGTCGGGAGCAACGAAACATTAACATGTTAGGTCGATGAGCGGTAGTTTTACTTGCATGTGACATTTTCCTCCAACCAAAACATCTTCACAAATTGTTTTAACATCAGAATCAGAATCAGAATTGGTGAATGTGAGGAACATGATGTCCATTGTCGTGTTTGTGTAGGTCATTCCAGATGTGTTTGTTCACCACCTTATTTGCCTCTATGAAGGTTTATTCTCTGGTGGGCCCACTGCCCAACAGACCTGTAGTATTGCTTAATATGTAAATTATGTAACCTGAAACAAGTACATTTGCATATACAAGGAATTTGACTTGGTGTATTGGTGCTAAACAAGACAAGACATGACATTTTATCCTTTGAAAATCATAAATGGAAAACATTGAAATGTTCAGAGAAGTTTGTCAAAGTTTAAAAATAGATCAGAGTTGCTAGAGGAAGAGAGTTTCTTTGTTTAAAGTAAGCGAGTAAAAACAACTCTATACGACATCTGACTCAAGTATGACACGTTTCTACATGCTAATGAAACTTCATCAACAAGGTAAACAACCAGGAACGCTGTTCTCTGTGCCACACGACATAGATCCAACAGCTTACATATCAGATCCAACTATGATGAGGAAAGCTTAAAATTAAAAAAACTCTGTCCGGCCATGGACAGGAAGTACAAAACTTAAACTACATAATGCTGTTTGAGAGAACGTCTTACCTTCTGCTGGTGTTCAGGTTGGCAGCCGGCTGGCAGTTTGTGTTCAGGAAGGCCAAAGCGGAGCGCTGCTCTGCACTCAGCTTGATGCTGTTACTGGATCCCTCGCTGGTCAGGAGGTCCCGGATCAACTGAATCTGACGATCCTGTATGAGGAAAAATGTCAGAGGATTTACTTAAACCTCCTGTGATTAACTTTCAGTTTGTGTCAAAAGCAGTGACCCCTTTGGGCAGAGCACTGATTTGTCCTAACGTGTGAAAATAGTGAAATTGAACAGTCAAGGATATCATGAATATTTGCAGTGGAAAAAGTATTGAAAGTCTGTTTTGGCATGGAGCAGTCAGTCTATTCATCTGACACCGAACCTCCTTTGAGTGGTTTCAGACATTACAAGTCATTATATAGAAATGGTCAATCGCTCACGACCCTGTTTGCTTTAGTAGGCCATAGAGATGCATCAAAATTAATCTCAGTCTGTTAAACGCCTAGTTAGAAAACTCCTCACAGGATATTTAACACCTATGACCAGGTGTTAGAAGTAGCCCTCCACATACCAGCTTCTCGCAGTCAGCCTCGGCCTTCTGTCTCCGTCTGATCTCCACGTCCACTTGGTTGCGGGCGTGTTTCAGCTTGACCTCCAGGGCTCCCCTCTCCGTCTCCGCTTTGGTGAGCCCCTCTTTGCAGGAGCCCAGCTCATGCTCTGTCCTCAGCCATCTGCGACGGCAGTCATCAAAGTTTTGTGCCATCTGGATGAAGTCTGGGGGAAAAGAGGGAGGGTAAATATTAAAATGTGGGGCAGTGTGTGAGTGTGTGTGCAGGCAGCGTACGGAAAGTGTTGGTCATAAACGATGAGGAGTAACAGATGAAAGCGAGAACCATTAACTACTTACTGGGTTCAATGTTCTCATTGAGAAGGTCAACTTGAGTCCTCAGCTTATCATATAAGCTCTGGAGACTCAGCACAGCCGTGTCCATGATGGTCTTTATCTGAAGACCCTTGAAGAATAAAAATAAATATTATTATTCATTTTTAGATAATGACAAGAAGAGCAATGGCCCTGTATTGTGCTGGTCTGTTACTGCTAATCAGAGACATCAGACAAAGGTGAATTAGGAAATCCTCACATCCTCTTGCTTATTGGCAACAAAAGAAAAATGCAACAAAAACGTCCCAAAAAAAAAAACAGTGAGTGTTGTTTCTAGCTTTTTACATCTCCGTGGGAAAATGTTACACACACATATACACACACACACATACACACATATACACACACACATACATACACACATATACACACACACACACTTAACTGTATGCTTGAAAAATAACATGTCGGTTATGATACGCCTGACTTCTGCTAGCGCGAATTTCTCTTTTAGTCAACCGTGTTACTTAAAATCACATGAGATACTTACAGTTTTAAGTAAAAACAGAACAGCAAACTCCTTTCAGCACATATATTCTTCTTTTTTTCTTTTTAGAGACGAGCTTATCGGTACCTTCCTCCACACACACAACAGCAGGGGCGACCACCACGGGCTCTCTCTATTTCAAATTTCGCCGCTAGCCAATGAGCGAAGAGCGCCGCGCCGGTGTCATCGTGGCAGAATGACGCAAATTACGTCGGAGTCTGTGCGTATTTTCAAAATAAAACTTACTGCGGCGGTCGCGGTGTTCAAATCGACGCGAAGTCAGCGGCTGGAAGTCTACAGACGCAGTTGTTTGAGGGGAAACTTTTTACACATATTTTAAAAGCTGTGTTTAAGACAAATTGGTGCTTAAGAAACGAGGAAACAGACAAAGAAAAGTGCCAAAAAAATAAGTAGCTGAAAAACTCAGACTTCCGTTAAGAACCAACTGTCAAAATACAGTATAATACATCACTGTGGGCAAGACACATGTAAGTGGAAAATAACGAATATGCAGGGCGTCAACCATAAATAAAGCAATATTAGATGGACACATCGAGGTTTACTGCCAATTTCGGTTAACTGTGATTAGGAGGATAACTGTAGCATGGACTGAAATATCACAAACTTGTGTCTAGTAACCAGAATTATGTCTGTGTGAAGGAATTTGACTTTAATTTATCATAATAAATGTATAATAATAATAATTAATAATTTGATCATTTGTTTGATTGATTGTTTGTTTTTATTTATTAGCTGGCCTATCTTTGTTTAAGACATTTTAATTTAACAAAAAAGGATGGATAAATTACAAAAGCAATTAACAATCATAAAGTGAACCTAAACAACCATATAAACTTGTATTTGACATTATGCAGCCACACCAATAACAAGGTCTTTATCAATCAATCAATCAATCAATCAATCAATCAATCAATCAATCAAACTTTATTTATACAGCACATTTCAGACAAATTAAATCGCAGTTCAAAGTGCTTAACAAGAGTGCAGAAAAGTATTGACAAAAAGTAGTTTATATATATATATATATATATATATATATATATATATATATATATATATATATACTATCATTGAGAGACTAATGCACACAAATAAGAATTAAATAAAAATAAAATAAAATAAATAAAATAATATTAAAATAAATACATAAGAGGAAAATATTTAAATTGTCGTAGGATAAAGAAGACAATACAGTAATGTTAAGATTTGAATTGATATAAAGCACTATATAAAAGCCAGACTGAATAAATGAGTTTTATGGTGATTTTTGATGGTAAAACTGGTAGTTTTCTACAGAAACAGCTGTATGTTTACAATTTTCATAATATATTTTTGACTGGATGGTTGTCTTTTTGTTTTGTAAAAAAAACAAGAAAAACCATTAGCCTACTATTAACATTACTATTATTAGCCTGTTCTATGTTTTCTAATATTATTAGTGGGGACAGGTTAAGATTCAAGCAATCAATCAGCACTTCATTATTCTGTCTGAATTTAGTGGTTCATCTGTTCTAATTGTTCTGATTATTTATAATGAATCCACTTTGAGTGTCTGAGAATGTTTAAACATCTGAAGTCGCCTTCTATATCAACAAACCCAACCTTCTGTCATGCTGAATCTCTGAGCCAATCAATAATCCAACAGCAGATTGAAAATAGAAGGATTAGTGAACAGTCCGTGTGTGTGTGTGTGTGTGTGTGTGTGTGTGTGTGTGTGTGTGTGTGTGTGTGTGTGTGTGTGTGTGTGTGTGTGAGAGAGAGAGAGAGAGAGAGAGAGAGAGAGCGACCGGTGGGGAGCACAAACTTGCGAGAAGCAGAGCATGCAGAAAAGCTCCGCAAGAAGACAGTGCAGCTGCTCGGCGGGGTTTGAGGCTACAGAAGAGGCAGCGGCTTCTCGAGGATTACAATGATTGCCACAACTCAACAAAACATGACCACGGAGCTGGTATGTGCGGGTCTTTTTCTTGTGTTTAATCCCCATTTAGTGCTTTGAGTGTGTGTTAAAGTGTGCGTGCAGTTTTTTGAGGGGGGATTCACTGGGTCCACTGATGTGTAGTGGGGTGGGGGGGGGATTCCTCATGCATCTCCACAATGCGAGCGGTATCGATTTGCGTTTTAACCATTTGGCCCATTCAGACTTTTTTTTTTTTTTTTTTTACCCCTCAGTCAATATTATTCTCCTGCTGGACTCTGTGCACTGCGGTGCAGGGCAGCTGGTGTGGTAACTCGACGTCCAGCGCCTCTCTCCCCACTCCATTTGTTTTTCTGTCCCATGCAGACTTTCGTTGCATTACACCTGCAAACAAATATTCGTAGTAAAATGTATCATCACTCTGTCACTGGTGCACAGACCTACAACCTGCACTGAGTGATTGATAATCCCTCTGGCTGCTGTGTAGGTGTGTTGACAATGAAGAAAGACTATATCCCTTTTATTTTGCTCACACCATTAACACACTGATCATGGGATACTTTGCGTTGGATGAAATATCATGAATGCTTTGTAAAGTAATGTTAATGCACAATTTCCTTTCCAATTTAACATGCACATCTGACTTTTTTGTGGTTAATTGAAGACAGTCATTTGCATTTTAGATGCAACTTTTGATCCTAAAAAGCAGATTTCATGTATTAGTCTGTGGATTTTACAGAATATTCTTTACATAAGAGTGCATTTAACTGATTAAAGTCTACAGTTCTGGTAGCGATCAATGTATACATGTAATATAAATGATGGAGATGAATGATTGCATTTGCAGATTAATAATCATACTGTTTTCATGCTGCCATTTCATGCAATCAACAGAACTAAGATGCTTCTTCTTTTGGATAAAACTTTCTCATGCTGCATCACTTGTCCAGTCATTATAATGGGCTGCTTCTGTTTCACTACAGTGCAGAGCAACAATTTCATCCCTTGCCAAGTCCAGTAATTAACAGTCTTATCAAGCTGTCGCTGTTCTTGTGAAAGCGCTTCAATCATGAGATCATTAGTACACAGCTGTCCCCTGGTGGAGAAAGCATTTGAAAGACTACAGGAGCACTTAGATTATTTGTCAGATTGTGTCTAATTTGGTACATTAGATGTTCAGCACAAACCTGGATTTTCTTCACTCTCATGTTCAAGTGATTGAATTTCAATGAACCCTGACTGAAAGTCTTGTGTGATAATCCTGCAGCATTATTGTCTCCTTGAGAGGGCCACACAAGGCTGCGGGGCGCACAGACGATCCATTACTTGCAAATGTCGCAACATTTCATGCCACGGTCTCTAATCAGTATCTTTTACACTGAAATGCTATTTATGTGGCAGAGCTGTGTTATACATATTTTCACATGTGGGGGGGGGGGGGGCGATCGTTTTGATTTCAATCAGGTCATATGTTTGGGTGACACACTATTTGGTGTATTAGAGCAGAAATCAATGACTTTGGAAACTGCTCTTTGTATAAGAAAGCAATTTCATGGCAGGAAAACATAATGCTTTGGTTCTGGTTCAGTTAATCCCCTGCATTAGGGAAGAAAATAGCAGTGATTTAATTAGTTTTCTTCAAAGGCATTATTGTTTTAACATGCATTTTCAACACTGATTAAGTGACAATATGACAGAGTACATTCTTGTTTGCCATGAGCGTATTGTGAGCTGCTGCGGGAGTATTCCTGTAGAGTATAGTCTCCGGCTTGTGAAAAATGGCATGCTGTATTGCATATTTTACTGTTTATATACCATGCCACCTGCAGCTCCCCCACATATGTTTTACTGATGCTGCTGTTTTCCTCAGGCAGGAACTCGGTCACTTTTGTGAGTGGCTGGACTCGCCGAGATAGAGAACCCCTTTTTTTTTTTTTTTTTTACAGTTATTTCGCTATGCACAACAGGGTCATGAAAGGAATAAGACAGTGGGATAACCTCGCAGTGGTGGACGCTAAAGCAGCAGCACTTTCATTTCACAAAAAGGCTTGTGCGTCTGCATTGTCTGGCAAAAACCTCGAGGGCAAAAATTGTGCCCAGCGAGTCCCACATGGTGTCCATACCACCTACTGCTTTTTTTTTTTTTTTTTTTTTGTAAGATTATACACTCAAAGAGAGGAATGGTGGCGCAGTGAGTGGGAGCAAAGAAATTCCCCTGAATGTGAGAAATGAAAGCTTCGATATGAATCAATATCAAGCTGTAGTATCTCATTACTACGGCATGTGATGAACCATTTATTACAACCACTCTTCAGTTACATTCTGCCTTAATGATGACCTTCATTTGAAATGAGGCAGTGAGAGATATTGACAGGGTAATACGCATGTGGGTTACTTGCTAATCTACAGCTTTCCCTTGTGAGCAATTACAGTGAATCATTAAGATCAGGAGCATATAGGCTACATTGAATATGTGTCTGCCAATAGATCCCCATCTTTTAATGCTGGTGCTTATTTTATTGATGCCCCTCTGTCAATGTCATCTGCGTAATAAACATCATAACATGGTGTTAAAGGAGGAGTTTTAGGGGGTATGCAAATTGGAGAATCCCCCAAACTGCCTGCACTGGTTCCCTTATTCCTCTGCGTGTAATTTATTGTCAGATTCTGCATGCCTCAAAGACACAGAAGATGGAGCTAAGGAGGTCTCCAGAGTCTAATTTATGAATTCTTAGCACCGCCTGGATTCTGCGCAGCCCAGTTGTGTTGCATGCTGTGCAGATTGAGTAATTGTGTTCGGTGTGGCTCGCTTTTTTTTTTTAGCAGGCAAACTCAATCAATATAATTCGAGCCGGTTGATTTTGTGTGTGTGTGTAGTGCTTTGAGAAAAAGGATAAACCAGTCTGATTTTAAGGAGATAGATCAGGATATAGGTGTCAACATTCCTTATGGAGGTGTCATACTTTGCATAAAAAAAAGGACTCTATTTTAATGTCTCCTTTAGGCCTGTATTACCTCTATTAATTGTTTCCCCCTGGACCTTGTACAACTGTACGACCTTATTGATTCTTTCATTTGGTTGAGTGAACATCCCAAAGCTCGGCTGGCAAACTAAAACAGCTCTCTCTACTCTAATGCAGTTCTGCTCAACCAAAAAAAAAAAAGTCCTCTCATGGGGATTCCTTCAAGAGAGCTTTCCATAAACATAA